AAGTCCAAAGTCGCTCTAAATTAATTCTCGACCTATGGATTTTTTTCTTTTTTCTGAAATAATTAGTTTTCAATGCAAACGCACAATGGATACCATTAAATAATTATGTCTATCGATAAATAATTACATCGGTCATCTTGTTTTTTAGCGACTATTGTATAATATTCTTGTCTCGCGTTTTATACGGAGTCTATCAGTCTTGACATGGCGAAACTTATATAATCAATACACGAGACCGCACATCTCGCGAAATGTTCGAAATAGCAAAAAGGATTTTTCGAATTTTTCGTGTTTCACGTTTATGGCAATCTCCCCTAGTTGCAATTATACGTAAGCGATACATCTATATAATGCCTTGATTTCTTCCTTTACATTTACACATACATCGAAATACAAGGTTCAAGTATATTAAATCAAGCGAATATAGTAAATATTACATCGTCAATTTAGCACATTATAAAAATTTATGATAATCGATAAAGTTAAAAGATAAAAACGTATTGCAACATATATTAATGTCTTTTATCAATTAGGGAATATTATAAAATTTTATCAGCTTCTAATCGTTTATATTTAAAACAATATCGATCAGATATTTCGCAATGATAAATTCAAATTGGATAGTTTGACGAGGCGAGGGACTTCCACACAACTTGCTTGTTTTTACATAAATAAAAAAAATTACGTATTTAGATTTGAAGTACGATATATAAATGGTATACGAAACTAATGACAGCTTCCTGAAACGTGACAGGAAGCCAGGAACTGTTCGGCGCATACGCGTTTCTCGCTAAATTAACGTTCGCGCGATTAAAAAACATGATTTTTTGATGGAAATCAAGGAATTCAAGCAAGGAGTGAAGTATCGAAATACGGACAATTTCGACCATCGTTTTTTCAAACGTCGTTTCGTATCTACGTGTGTAATCCGTTAAAAATGATTGGATATGCGAGAGTACATCAGCAGCATAGGATCTCGTAATCTCTACCGATCCACGTGTGTTACTTCACGTAGAGATACTCAAGGAAGTGTTAGAGTAATGGTACATACAAATATACCTACAACTATCTAGAGTACATTATAAAAAATATTTATTGTGTATATAATCAATTAAACAAACAGAAAAATTCACTTTGCAGTATACATATACATATATATATATATATATATATATATACATATATACATATATATACATATACATGTACATGTATATATAAAACATTTATCAATAAATATTACTGGACTAAACAATATTAGGGTCTGAAAAGTACTCGTTCATCGACAAGCGTTACTTATATATTTCTTCGTATTCTTTGTTCTCTATTTAGTGGTAGCGTTTTGCGCGGATAGCCTAGTTAAAAAGATCGGACTTATGTACATTTTTTTCGCCGTTTTCTCTCTCTCTTTCTCGCGCGCGCGCGCGTATCGTGGACAATAATAAATAAAATTTCTTAATTGCGCTCCTCTCCCCTCTCTCCCCGTGGTGTATGCTGCATGTACGAGATTCTCTTTTTATCTATATAGACAAAAAATTTAATTCAAATTCACGATCGCCGTCTCTAACTCGACCGACATGCCCGTTTTTGACTTAAATATTATTTCTTTACTTTACGAATTAGACTTTTTAGATGTTATGCTTATCGAGAAATACTATATCTTAGTGAGAGAGACATACTTCGTACGTACACACACCGTGTTGCATTTTATATATGCGTTTCAGCTTTATTAATTCTACTTTTGCATACACTCACGGTACACTTGATTTAATTTATGTTTATCTGTAATTCAATGCGCATATATATATAAATATATATATATATATATATATATATATATATACACACATATACATGAGTAAAGATAAAATATATATTTTGCATTTTTGCTTCTCCCAGTTAATACTATGTGGATTTCATTCTTCTCGCGTGTTATATTTATATATATATATATACTTTTAATCTAAGCAATAGTTTTTGCTATTCGATAGATACAAAATTTCATTTTTCTTTAATTGTGTTCGCATTCACGGCGATCGCTCGACGATTACTTTTGCAGCATCGACACCCATCGTATCTTTTTAAACGTTAATATTATTTTATTGCACACTATTTGACTTTCTTACACATTACACAACCGATGTTTATATAAAGAATCTTCGACTTATATGATCGGTATTATATATATATATACGTCTCAAATTTGATCTGCAAACATATATGTATAATAATTTTGACAAAAAAGAGTAATATGAGAGAATAGAGCAAATCGTAAGAAAAAGAGTCATCCCATAATTCCCTTCCCCTTCTGCGTGTCGTGAAATAAAACTTCCAATTAAATCGACATCTCCGGCATAAAATTTGTTTAAAACGTTGGTCACGGTATTATAACACTTGACATTACGGCCAAAGAGTAAGAAATATCTTCTCCGTGTGTCTCTCGTATAAACACGCCATTCCTTTACTATACAAATCTTAATGTGGGATCCACATCGATCATATGCGGATTAATGTACAATTTGTGGAGCTTACACACGTGATCTACCCGCAACAAAATATTCATTTCGATCGTGCGAGGTTGTACATCTACGTCTAAATCATTTCTCGGCGATATACATATATATATATAAACGCGTGTTATGCTGAAAAAATCAAAGGCGCAAATTTCTATACAACTGAAAAAAATCTCACGAGCGACTATAATATCTCTGTTATTGATGTAATCAAGTTGCGTACAAAATTGCGAAGTCGAATAACAGAATATAACGAAAAGGATGCTTCTCCCGTGAGACCCCGTGATTGGTTAAATTACGCGAGCGTATCCAGAAGAGAAAAGAAAAAAAAAAAAAAAAAAATACGCGCGGCAGCGAGCGACCGCCGCGGATTTTCCGCTTCACACACTCCTCTCGTTGCTCCTCCGCAAGGACAAAGGGTTTTACATAAATAAATCTCTCGAGAAGGAAAGGCTGGTCAATCTCGACGCGCGAACGCGAGCTAGACCACGTATTACGTATTACGGTTATACAAGTTTACGTCACTCCCCCTTCGCCATTTTTCTTTCCATTTCTTTTTTTCTTAAATGCAAAAATGGTAAGGAGTCGATTTATGCAGCGAGACTCGAAGGAGACTGACCACCTCCCGACATTTTCGACCGTTCGCAAATCTATCAATATCGTTAATTACGTATATCGTTAATCGTCGCGTGTATGCGTGGGTGTGTGTATTTGTGTGTATGTGTATACAAGATGTACACTAAATAATTATGTCGCGCGGATCTAAGTTTACAACACAGCACAGAATTCGCCGCGGCGGAATAAATCGGCTCAACTACGTCCGGCTACAACGTGGCCAGGGCCTTCCCCGGCTGGATCTCCCGATACGGCGTAATCGAATCAATTCATCGAACCAGATCAGACGATCGAGTTGACGAGTGCACTGATACCGCTTGCCACGCTTAACCCGCTCCTCCCGATACAAATTGGCAAATTGGACTTGCTAATCACGCATTTCCCGGGTGCGCGCGTAACGTTTTCATCGCGTAAGCAAAAATATTACCGATTATTATACACAGAATGGACCAGTAATAATTAACATCTTCCGTAATGTTGAGGACTATGCGAGGAAAATTTGTCCAACGAAAGCGTCGCGTTGCATAGAACAAGTATGGTAATAATGTTTCACTTATAGCTGAAATCGCTTAGAGGAAATGTAAGAATTATCTCCATTTTTTTATATGAGAATATAATTTTTATATATATATATAAATATATATATTGTATATATATATTTCGGTTCTTTTACTTATTCTGCATATAAAAGTATCAAAGTAAGATCGCATAAGATCGATACTTTACGAGATACTTCATGATTTATTGTAACATAATGTGACATAAATATGTAAAATCTCGTAAGGTATAGATACAAGTTTCACAGGAAATGATTCATTAAAGGTGCATTATATGTATAATACTGAAATTTAAAAAATGTTTGAATTTTTTTTTACATAAGAGGTGTGTAAAAATTTTTCAAAGAAAAAAGGTGTAATTGTGTTTGAATCGAAATACATATGAAAATATATGACCTATGTGTTGTGTAGAGTCCACGTAACCGAAAAATTGTCTTTGGTTAAAATTATATTGTCGGCTCGAAGCCATTGTTAAGGTGCCAAGCGGTTTCATGCCGAAAGCATCCTCTCCTCTCTATTCCGAAAATATGCTATGTATTACAACACTTGGTAACTTAGCGTCATGTCGCGCGGAGCAAGAGTAAATTTTCGCGATATCTACATTAAAAAAATGAATTGTCACATTCTTTCAATTATTTGCTCTTAAGCAAAGAGGAAGAATCGAGACCAACATGAGTATATTACGGAAGAAAATAATTTATTCGAGATCACACTACGTGTCCGACATCGTAAAAGATATTGTACATTATGTCCATTTATACATTTTATAAATTCGCATTATTTAAACGTTTGAAAAAATATCATAATATATAATATTAAATATCATAATATATTGTATAATATTATAATATTAAATGTATTTTCTATGAAAGCACTCAAATTTGTTTGACAAATTAAAAAGTTCCGAGTTTGCTGCGAGAAATATTAGAAAATGTCATCATCTAAATTAAATGTGACATTTCTAAATTTTCAACAAGTAAAACGTCAAAATATTCAAACATCTTTCTCTAGACGGACACGCTCTTTAATTACGAGAAAACTGCTTATATTACACATTATATTTTGAGCAATATGCGTGATAGGAACAAATTTTTTTTCCAACTATCGGTCAGTAGATGTATAGTTATCTTTCGTGCAACCGTATTAACAATATATAGAAATAACTATACACGTGAAAACGTATTCTTCGTAATCATCCCGTTGAAATTCTTACTAAGCTTATTGATTTCATTAAACGCGGACACACGATTTAACGAGAGACAAAATAATCGTAATCGATAATTACACATCATTAGCAATCTTTGTCAAGACTAACCTTGCAATGACGCTGATGAAGAAACGTCAAGTGACTCTGCTCCGCCGAAGGCGCTGTTTTTTTTTCTTTTTTTCAAAACTCACTTTATCATTCAGCACTGTAATCCGTTTCACATCCACGGTCGTTCATCTATCGCCTTTTTCCTCCATACAACGTGTCAAAACATCGCCATGATCCTTATACATTTATACATCAAATTCACTGGTTTCCAATAGAATTAGTTTTGCACACACTTGTATCACTGTTATCAGGATAGAACTCTCTTCGTGATTCTCTTCTTCCGCTTTTCACACTGTGCGTTTGCCGTCCATCTGCCGTATGCCGCTGTTTACTCGAACCCTTCCCTCGAATTTGATCAAAGCACGTTCGAAGATCACACTTGGCACGAATCAAAAGTATTCTTGTTGGAACCACCGCGGTACTAAAGAAAGATCTATCTAACAATCCTCTAAAAAACACTATATATAAACCGCTTATCTACCGCTAAATACAGACGCGACGGACATCTCTTCGTACTGCTACTCTACTAATCGATCCTACGACTCTACTTGTGTGTTTACGATGTAAGAGAATAAATAATAAAATGCTCTCCCTAAAAGATTTCAACGCTTTTCTCCTTCTTCTCTTTCTCTATCATCCTCGCAATCAGATTCGCGCGTCTCATTCTTTCGACAATTTTAACTCTTTATATCTATCACTCTTTGCATACTACCACGTTTTCTCATGCGCCTTACTCGTATATTACTACACTTGTATTACTGATCACTCGCTCTCTCGCACGATTTCACATTAAACTACGTACATCTTCATCCCTATACATATATATATATATATATATATATATATATATACATATATATATATATATATATATATGTATATATATATATATGTGTGTTTATAGGTTTAGTACAATTATTCGATAGAGGTTAACGCGGTTCTGATTAGCATGTGATCCAGTTTTATTTTAACGTTTCCTTTTCCTCTTCTTCATTAATAATCCTGATCCACAACATTCATGCGTATTTTCGCAAATATTCCATCCAGACTTCTCCGTTTCATTTCGCTCTCGTTCCTCTTGCCTTATCGCAGCATCCCTTCTTATCGTCATCCTTCTATTCATTATCGAGCGCGTTTACGGGTCCTTTTATAACTTCCTCGCCTTAATCTGCTTCGTTTCTTTTTTTGGTACAAGCAACATGATTAACACGACAAAATAAGCGTCATTGCTTACAGGGATTATTTGGAGGTCATTGATGAGGATTCAGGTTTGGGTAGGAAGGAGGTAGTAGCTGGAAACAAGGTATAAACGACCCTGAGAGAGATGGAAAGGAAGTTCCACTTCTCGGAGCTCTTTCAACCCTGCGGCGACGTCTGCGGCGAGATTTCAGTGTCGCCATCGCCCGAGCCCGGCTCGCCTTTCGTCTTGTTCTCCTTCTTCCACTTCATCCGTCTGTTTTGAAACCAGATCTTTATCTGCCGTTCCGTCAGACATAGCGCGTGTGCGATCTCGATACGTCGCCGTCTAGTGAGATATCGGTTGAAATGAAATTCCTTTTCCAGTTCTAACGTTTGGTATCGTGTATACGTTTGTCGACCTCTTTTCCTCTCTGAAACAAAACAAATTATGGCTAATTAGTATAAATTGTTGCGTGTTTCAGGATTATTATAGACATAACATTAGCATATAAATGTAATTTAATATATTCCATTATTATGTGTACAAGCAGAAAAGGTTTTGAAATCGGAATTGGCTGGAAAAGTCCAGCGAGTGGAAAATATATATTGCTAAATTGCTAAATTATATTGCTAATTGTATTTATTAAATGTTAATTTTTAATTGTATAAGAAAAATGTAATAATAACTTGATTAAAAATTATTATCAATAGATCTGATTCACATTTTTACGAACGAAAAACTAATTTATTTGCTTCGATTCTTAATTAAATTATGGATTTCATTTTGGATAAAACTTAAATTAAAAAAGTTTTAATTAATAAATATCGATAGAAATATTTTCTCTATTTAATTTAACATTTTAATAGAAAAGACCAGTTTTAGTAGGTTTCTCTTTTCGGAAAATATCAATTTCTATTTGAATTTTATCAAAAAAATGTGGGGTTTGGCGAATCCTATCGAAATATTGTACGAGATAAATTTCGAATCGAATATTGATAAATATGAAATATTAAAAGATATACATCTTTTGACGAAGATGACATTGAACTCGCATAGATAACGAAATGCAACTAGCAAAGTACGTATGGATATTTTTCCATTGAATTTTTAAGCTACAGGCAACCGGCATATTTAATAAATACCGCAATCTGCGCGTCGGCTTAAGGAGTTTTGTAAAACCTTGAGCGAAACGAAAATATCTCCGCGCGACTGAAAAGAAAAATCTTGCGATCCTAAGTGCAGTTCCGCATATGATAGATACCTTAACGATATCCGCGATATGATCTGCGGTCGGTGCGGTACACGAATCCCGAACAAGAATATTAATTATGGTTGCCAAGAGAGCGAGGGAGCGAGAGAGAGAGAGAGAAAGAGGTGGTAAAGACGGAGAGAGAGGTAGTAAAGAGACAGAGTGAGTTGAGCCTGTGTGAGAAGTCTCACAACTTTACAAGATATAAACCGCAAAGGGTTAGCCTGGCGTGCGAGTGCGAGAGGGAGAGAGCAAAACAAGAATGTTTCAGAATGGAGGAGGAAAAAAGGAAGAGAGGCGGCGTAAGGATGAGAACTTGAAAGTAAGGAGGGGAGAGGTGAAGAAGAAGAAGAAGAAGAAGAAGAAGAAGAAAACTCTCCTTGGCGAGCATTCGAGGCAAACGCCGCCCGTCGCGCTGTCGGCCGATGAAGATGGATGGCGGTTCTGCTCCGGAGAGAGATGGAGAGATCGCGTAGGTTCCTGAAACGTTCGACTAGACGAAGAAGAAAGGATAGGGAGGAAGAGGAAAAAAGCGCGCGTTGGAAAAAGAGAGGGGAAGAAAGAAGAGAGAGGATATATAGAGAAAGTTGGGGAGAGCATGCCCTCTTATTCTCTCCCTTGGGCTACGCTCTCAAATTAACAACATACCAATCTCTAGCGCTCTCTTATAAGCTTTAACGATTTAGGCAACTTTCTTGGCTCCGCTATTTTAAGAAAGTAGTCATTTACTATTCCGAAAAATTCAGAAAAATATAATAAATATTATTAAAAAAGCGATTACATAGGCATATGTGCGGGCATGTGTGTATCGCGCAATGTGTTATATAAATATGGACGATGATAAGTGTTGCGTTTCTCGCATAAACGCTTTTTACGGAATCGTGTATATTATATGAGTAAAATATTATCACTGTTAACTGTCAAGTGTACGCTGTCGACTGTTCTATGAAAGCTGCGTCATATTAATATTCATTCGTCACGCCGTTAATGAAGATCATGTTCTAGATCTAAAGCTAAATCAAAGCGTCGGAGAAATACATGGTGCACGTTCAAATGATATACATCCAGGGAAAATTCCAGTCTATTTATTAATTATTTATATATGTAGATTTATTTATAATATCTTCTATCATTTCCCAGGCTGTAAAGAAATAAAAATGTACCTCATAACTTGAATTTTCTTTTTGAAGAAAGTGTTTGAAAGTCGAATAGTTGTGAAAAATATTTTTAAAGTTTAGATTTAAAGAATTTTAAAACATCTACATATTTTATTGAACCCACATTGTTCCAAATAGTAATAAAATTTTAAAAATATGAGCAATCATATAAATGACTATTTTTAATTGTTGACAAAGAACTTGCGAAACAAAACATATTTTTATTTAAAAAATTAATTTCTCTGAAACACACACGCGTCTCTCCACGACCACCATTTCAAATAAAGATAATCCTGAGTCGATGCGGCGTAATAATCAGGTTTGTTTCGAAAGGTCACTTCGCCCATAAATCCTTTCATGCCACTAGATGTTGCAGAGTAAAGAAATGAATTATTAAACGTTGCATCGAGAGACGAGTCTGTATTATTTATGAACTGAAACCTATAGGGAGCTTCCAAGCCGATCGATTTGAAAAACTTAAATCTCGATTAGGCGTACCCGACTAGAAGAATTAGGCGTCGATATTGCGCGAGCGAAAGATTTCTCGACGCTGAGACTTGCCGAGTTAATTAAAGAGATAACAGCGATGCTTCCTGTTTCCGTTATGCGTGCACGGATGTGATTGTGTACGCGCGAAATGGAACGCACGCATGATTAAACGCTCTAGAAAGGTTTACGCTGATGATGCACATCGCGGGATCGAAACTCGCCCAAAAAAATACATCTGCATTATCTTCACATGAATTTTAATCTTCGACGCATTCGATAGCATTTTATAAAAAACGGAAACAGATTCTGTTTTTATTAATTCGATAACAATTTTTTTCCTCGGAACAATGTCGGCTGTCGCAACGATGTAAATTCGATCCGACTGGGGTATCGCGCACAAGGGGAAGGGGGAAGGGGGTATCCCCGATAATAAGAAAATCGTACCGATGACCTAAGTTTGCGGCGGACCGGCGTAACCAGCGCTGCCACGGCTTTCGCGGACGGAGGTGACTTTAAACGCGGGGCAATAAATTAACGGCGTTGGGTTACGCAAGGATCAAATGTCCCCTGGAGTATGCCCGGGAGATTTATGGGTCTGCCTTCACTGGCGCAGCATGAAGGAACGAAACAGAACAGAACGTACACAACCGTGCGGCTTATTATAGGCTAGTTGCTCCGCATCTCCACTTCCCCTGCCCTCCCCCCCTTCCCTCCCACCCTTGCCAAGACTGGTCTTTCAGGCCCGCCGCAGGATACACGCAGGACTTTTCAGATTAACAGCTAGCCGGATGTTGTAACCCGCTAATAAGGTGCGGCCACCACTCGCTGCCCAATTAAGCTAAGCTTTACGTGGGCACCGTAAGAGACCAGACCTTGAAACGCTCTTCGATTAGATACCCCAGATGTAGCCATTAATTTTATCATTTCGCCTCGCGGTATGAGCCTTGGATTATATTTACGCCGTTGACAGACATCCATATTAATTGCGCGAGAGATCCTTCACAGATCTCGTCTAAATATTTTCTCGGGTAAATGCTTGAAGAGATGCGCAACGCAAAGTCGGCATTTAAAATCTCTTTCGTTACTTTGCTGTTTTAAGCTTTTCATTCGCTACTCAAAAATTCTGTTTTCAAGTATTTAAAAATCAAATGTAATTTTTAAAAAGAGAGAAAGAGAGGGAGAATATATTTCAAATAATTTCTAAATTAATACAAGATAATAATAAGAGAAAAATAATAGAGAACTGCAAGTATTCGCAATAAATCTAAACGTTTTTCAATTTTATCACATTTAGGTAGACAGATATTTATTGATATAATTAATATAATCCTAACATTGACGTAAACTTAACACAATTAGAATATCCCGAATTAAGATTAAATTCGCAAAAGTCGGAGAAGAAAATCGTCAAGCTTTCCTTTTCTCTAACATTCATAGAAGAAATTTAGAAATCCCCAAGAAGCGAAACCAGAGTATCTGATAGGCGGTTTTCCTTCTTTGCTTTTTTTTTGTCTTCCAGACAGACGAGCAGACAGTCGGACAAGAAGACGGAGTCTGAAAGAGCCCCGAGGTAGAAGGTCGAGATAATGAGCAGCGAGAATGGCTGGCCGCGACATATGCATCCTTACTTCCTTAGGGTATCACTCGGAAACATTAAAATTTACTTTTTCTCGCACCTGCTTCTCTAGATAAGAACAGTATGGCCGTCCTGTAAAACTCAAGCTCGAATCGAGATAGAGAAAAATTTTGCTTCGGACAAAAAAGAATTATAATTATTAAATGAATGAATAAATTAAATCGATAAAATAGAGATAATTTTATGCCCCGGATGCTTGAATTTTAGCCAGACATCGAATAGAAAATTAAACCACGACCTCCATATCGTTCACAATTGCCTCCATGGCGGAGCTCCAAAAGCAAACGGTCCCAGGATTTCTGTGGATTCATTCATCATCATCATCCGTCCCTTCCACCTCCTCCTCCTGCTCCTCTCCGTCTCGTACAAACACATGCGTATACTTGTACGTACGTAATCACATACATATACACACACGTGTTCCCTTGTCTTCTACTTTTTTTAGCTCCTCCTTTCCTGCCCCTTTTGAACTCCATCGCTTTTCGAATATCTCACGAAGCCGCCATCATTATGGCCACCAATCTCGGGAACGGCTAGTTAGATTATAATAAAATGCATTTCATATTCAGATTGCCTTTTTCTCCGACGTGCTCTATCTGGATCTTCTAATTCGTTTCCCACACGACTACAAACTTTATATACACTCGATTAAATTTGCATTAAATATTATTTGTTTTTAATCACGCTTTAAGAAATTTTCTGACGTGGTTTTCAATTTACATACGTGTATATAAAATATTTTTACACGCGACTTGATATTAATAAATCCTATTTGATATAAATTCATTATTAATTACAATATTTCTTTTATTATTAATAAATACGTATCAAGAAGAAACAAGAGATGTTTTATGACATTAGAAAAACAAAGCTGTTCATTTAATTAGATTCTGTTATTATCTTTTGTCAATAACATATGTTTCGTGTTGCGCCAATTTATTTGCAATGTACACGTTCTAAACTTTGTCTCGGTATACGAGAGAGCAGTAACGGAAGCTTTACACGTATATAACTGTGTCACGACATGCTTATTTGCCGATTGAGAATACACGAAGGGAGAAGAGAAAGAACGGGGATGTCATAAATCTCTTCGCACAGAGGATTGCAATTATCTCATGCATTAAAAGCATCGCCGGTATCGATGGTCGATTTCTTTTTCTTGGATCAACACTTGGAATCTTAACGTTGCAACGTTTTGCGTTATCAAGGATGAAAAGAATATGCATATATCAATATTTTCGAATCTTAAAAATTTATAATAATTAATTTATAGTAATAGATTTTTGAACTCCTTGGAAACCTGGAATTTTCAGAGATTCCTTTTGTACCTGAAGGAATCAGAGAATTTTATTAAGATCCAAGAAATTTTTTGAAAAATTTTCCTTGATAATTTTGCTCTTACATTGTAAACAGTCGACAAATGACATTATGTGTGTTTAAAATGTATTATAAATGTATATCTATCTTTCTGTTTATATATTTAATGACTTAACAAAGTATTCAAAAAATACGTATATAATGCATATGCTTTTATTATCATTTTTAATGATAAAAAATAAAAATGGTATGCAAGTGAAAAATATTATCTTACGAAAATTTTTTTTAGCTCTGTGTTTTTCCTTGTCCCATGAAAAGCATTAAAAAATATATACAATAAAAAAAAACTTTATAACATTGCATAAAAGAATCTTTAAAATATTCTTTCTATTTCGAATTTTGAATAAAAATACTTGAAGAATCAGAAAATTGACAGGAAATTTTTTATAAGAATTAAAGTAGATATCGTAAGTAATATTTATGTACAATTGTCTTTCTATTAAATAAAAACATTAAAAAATCACTAAACTGCGTTATATTAAAATTTTCCCTTATGAAATAATTTTAACAAAATTGTGATACAAAAATAAAACAAAAGGAAAGGATTCCTATTGTGCAATATATATTCGCAGCAGCGTTTTGAGATCTTTGGCATTGAGCAAGAATTTATGTATAGACTCACATTCGTCATTTTATTTTGTAATATAATTTACTATCTATACCACAATTTCTCAGCTTGTGTAACGCATTTCATAAAGGATGCCAAAAATGTAGCTAATTTTTCTAAATAAATGTGCCAAAGATACTTGCGTCTATAAAATAAAGCATGAATTATGCATAATTCATGAATATCTAATTACAGCTACATGTTTAGCTCAGATTTTATGATAAAGAAAACGTGTAAAATTGATTAAATATATAAAAAATATTAATATTAATCTGTTGTCTCTCATGATACGCAATACTTTTGAAATATTAATTCTATGTCAGAATTTTAAAATAACAATAAAACAGGAAATAAATGGGAAATTTTAGAAGCATGTAGGAAAATTTTGAAATCGCAAAATTAATATTATAACAATGAGAGAATCAGGCATGAAGCATTCTTAAACGTGCCGACATCTGTGAGCATATTCAGGGACTCGGACCGTTTTCTTCGTTTAACTGATAGTAAACTACGAGCCATGGCATCGTCATAACCGTACTGCTTATCGGCCTATCCACGAGATACTTGGGACCAGCTTCTGAACTAAACCGAAAGATGGTACGAGCAATCATTGACGGAAGAAAATGTTTGTGAATGAAAATACGTACTTGTGAATGAAAATACATACTTGTGAATGAAAAAGATTGAATAGAAAAGATTTTGAACAAATAAAAATTAACAATTATAATTTTCAAAAGGTAAAGTAATAATTAATTTATAATATTGTTTTATAATTAATATTATTCAATTTTTATCAAATAAATAATACAAATAATATTTTATTTAAATCAATTTTGCGATATACGCTCTAAAAATATATGTAGAACGGAAAATTATTTATCGTAATTTTTTAAAACAAGAATACGAGTCAGTTTAAATATCTGATCGTGTTATACACATACCTTTATAATCACCTTCTCACTTTTTTTAAAAACATAATTCGTAAATGCAATCACATATAGAAAAATTAATCACATTAAAAATCTATAATCACTCTTAAAAATATAATTACACTTAATCATGATAAAAATTAATTATAAATGCTTGATTTGTGCTTAATTTATATTCGAAGAATATATAATATACGGAAAGAAACTGCTTCTACGAGAAACCACGAGCAACTAAACAGTGAGAAAAACAAAAAGGTAAGAATAGTTCACCATAGCTTTTTTTCAGGTGGAAACAACCTTGCAAGATTAGGTAATAGAGACGTCGCTTTTTGAAACTCGAAAACCATCAATCAGGAAACGAGAGATGAACATGAAGAATCAGCAGGATTCTACAACTTGTCCACAACTGTCTACATTTGACATCTTTTACTTAAGTGGCGGTGTAATGCTATTGTCACTTCATCATTATTATTACAAATGATCCTAAAAGTGTTGAGTACCATAAAAATACCATGAAAGAACGCAAGATTTATTAAACTATCTTCAAAAACATATTATGAGCAATTTGTATTAAAAATCAAAGCTAATGTATTATTTAATTGTATAAATTTTTATATATTGACGAAATGAAAGACAGATAATATAATAATTTTAAAACAATTTTTAAATAAAAAAAATATTTTAACTTTGCTACGTAATAATATACCGTGCATCGTGGCGACAAAAAAATAACGTATCGAATGGATACTTTGAGAAATGATTTTAAATATAATTATATTTTTAAGAGTGATTAATTTTTTTATGTAAGATTGCATTTATAAATTATTTTTCGAAAATAATAAAATTTAAACTATTGACCGAGTCCTATTTCTTATAAATTATATAAGAGACACTGCTAATTTTATATTTAGGAAATTTTTATAAATAATTTTTATAAGTTACACTTTTCTGTTCCACATAAAATAAATCAATGAGATAAATAAAAATGAATTATGTTACGAATAAAAACTGATATACATAGACTTTTGCGATTTCAAGTGACAATGACAACGCATAAAGAAAAAAAGGTAATGCTTATTGTGACCTGATGAACGAGCGGAAACCAGCAGACAAGCTAAAAAGCCAGCGCAATAAATAATAGCTCGCGATATATCTAGAGACATTGTGCCAATTCTGAACCGGTTGCCGTACGAATTTGGTCTAGTTTTGTGCGGTGTTGCATAAATTCAAAAGTCGACCACCCGCTACCTGAGAACTCTTAGCTCTTTATAAGACCTCCTTTGGTCACGCACCGAGTGAAACCTTTATTCTACTTTTGAAAGCTGCGTTATGTATTTTGTTTAGCAAAGGCAGATGCCGCATAAAAACATTTTTTTTTTAATTTTGATATATTCTATATTCGAAGCTATATATTGTGTATATAATTTTGAGAATAAGAATTAATATTTGAATAAATTCCGGTGCAAATTTAATAATGTAAAAAAATGCTATCGTGTCATTGTACGTATTTGATGAAAATATTACACTTACCAAATTGACTCCTCATCCAAGGGTACAGTGGGCTTGGCAAGTTCGAACTTGCCGCACTCTGAGGCGCGCCTTGTTGTTGTTGACTGAGCGACGACGCGACGACACCTTGATGCTGTTGAGTTTGCTGCTGTTGTTGAGGATGCATCGCGCTTTGTCCCTGTTGCGACGTGGTTTGAGACTGCTGCTGTTGATACATCATATGTTGTTGTTGCGCTTGTAAATGCTGATGCTGCGGCTGCTGCTGCGCATGTTGCGACTGTTGCGTCTGCATATGCGGATGTTGACTGTGCATTTGGTGATGCATCTGAGATTCGACGAGTGGCGGACTGTCCGGTCCGTCGAGAACGCTGCCCTGATGATCGACAGCAGCCGCCTGAAGTTTGCAACTGGCGTAGACGATGGGGGTGGACGGATGTCCGTTGGGAGTTGGCGTGTGTCCCATGTGACCCCCCATACTAGGGTTCGGAGACGTCGACCTGTAACCAGCCATGCCGTCCATACTTCCGTGTTCCTGTTGATGCTGATAATAGGCCGCGTTCCGCATGTCGATCCGATTGTACGGGGGAAACCTCGGATAAGGCATGTCCTGCTGACCTCCCGTAGTGGTTCCATAATGGTGGGCGGATACTCCTTGACGTAACAAACTCGGGTCGCAGGGATCACCGGCTTGCTGGGACTGCTGCTGAACCGACTGTGTTTGCTGAGGTACCTGTACGGCCGCACCGTAGTGCTGCTGATGCTGATGCGGGTGTTCCACCCCGCCATTTCGCAGGTCCGGGATGTACGAATTCGCGAAGTACGAACTCATGCTACTGTCCCACCTGTCTCACCTGCTAATGTCACTTCTCTACGTTGCTGACGGGCTTTCCTTTGGTTATCCTCGGTTGATTTATATGATTTTTCTTCTCTCTCTCTCTCTCTCTCTCTTTTCCTCTTCGTATATTTATTTTGTTTTGTACTCTTGCGTGCGGACACACTAACACACACGTCTTTATATAGATACAGACTTATCACTTCGAAATTGCATTTTTCTTCGCGAATTTTTTACTTTTTTTTTCTCACTCAATTCTTCTCATCTCACGCATTCTTAGACAGCACAAGCACACGTACATATATATATGTATATGTATATATACATATATATACATATATATATATCAAATTATCATTATCGTGGATCACATGTGTACATCATTTGACTTTTTATCACACTGAGCTCACTACTGATAAAATTATAAACTGGAGCACTACAGAACCTTTAATTAGCGAAGAGAGGGGAGAGTATACCGCGTATACGAGATGGTGGCGGAAGATGTAATCAAAGTCCTTCGTCTACCCTGGTGTGACACCTTCGTTCAAAGCGCCAAGCCACTCCAGACCCGTTTCGTTCCTCTGTCCACCCTACAATCGAAGTTACGCCGCACCTGTAACACAAAGAAAGAGCCACATTATATTACAATATTATAAAATTACATTAAACACGCTATGTATACGCATATCATATATGTAAAGTATTTTATTTCAAATTAACAATTATATCGAAATTATACCCATACTATTATCCACAATAAAAAGAATATAGATGAAATATTAAATAATAAGATAAGTATTGCATATAATAAATTATACAATATATTATTAACAATAATTTTAAAGAAAACTTTTATTTTTACATTAGATATAAATCTTTATTCTAATATTAAAATGTGGACTATTATCGTTAGAAAAATCAGACAAAAATAATGACATTACAGCGATATTTTGGAGATTCCACGATATCTAAACATATAGCATCACGGACGCAAAAGCTCACTTTGCATGATCCTTGTCAAGCGAACTGAATGAACTGAAAGCAGAGTTTAGCTCTCTGAATGACAGAAGGCGAGTTACACATGTGCTCGTCACGGTGACGGCCATCGCACAGACGCCAAACTTATTGCAGTGTTCTGTGTGGGCGGGCTAAGCGATCGTTAAATTTGGAAAAATTTCCATCCATTAGGCAGCATGGCCACTTCCCACCGAAATCTTCCCCTCGCATCAATCTCTTTTTCGGAAGCTTTGTGAAGTTACCGATGTACGCGTCGTGTGAAATTAGTAGGATGGACGCAAATTACTCATATTTAACTCACAATATGTTCAGTATTAACTAACTAATAAGTGCAACAGACATATTTAATAAATAGATAAAGAGAGAGATCGATATACAATCGACACAATCGATTTCAATTTTTCTTAAATATTCTTATTTAATTTGATTATAAAACGATTCAAATGTTGAAAATATATTTCTTAGCAGAAAATATATTAGAAAATATATTAATGGCAAAATATTTTTACATACATAGCAAAATATTTTTAAATACATTTCATATACATGAAATGTATTTATGAAAGGCAATTTTTAATTAAAAATATTTTGCATTTCATATATTATTATTTATACTGTAAATTATTTCGGAATTATATGTCTCAAACAAATCGTTGAAAATTCTTATTTACAGATTACATGAAATGGGATTAATCTTAAATTGTAAAACGAAAAATTGTTAAGAAAATGATAAATATAAATATACGATTGAGTTGAATATAAAATTATATTTCTCTTGTTAGCAGGGACTGTAGTAAATTAATAATATTAAAATTATGTAATTAACTAATGAATATAACAATAAATAATCTACAACTCTATTTCTTTGAACATAGACATATACATATGCAACAAATTAAATCATGATCCATATCAATTGATTTCTTATCGACTGAAGCTGGAAGAGCTTTCCCTTCAAAGAGAACAAGTCGATTTGCCGATTCTGGATCGAAATCTTCTCTACCGACTGTATTTGACGTATTAAAGTTGCACATCTTTTTCGAATGGAAACTATTAATTTTCTCAATTTTTTATACTAATAATTTTATTAATCTTTCTAATTTTAATAGTTTCTCTTAGTTTGTAATGTACAAATAAAATTAAAACAAAACTTGTAATTAAGAAGAATCTTTAAAAAACTGCATGTTATTGGTATAAACTTCATCATATATAAAAAGCAATGTAGGATTTAAAGTTTTCGATTAACGAAAAAAAATGACCCATTTAAACTATATTCATCTTTTAGAACAATTGGGGAAAAATTGGTTACACGGCGAAAGGATAAAAACACAAAAATATACACGTGGATATACATACGGGTATCGCACGCGGGTGGTATACAGTGTGGGTGGCGCTAGACACGGAGTTAGGAGCGGGCTCAAATGTGCAACGGGTTGGCGTAGCGGGTGCGAAGAGCGAAGGGTGCGAAGGCAGGGGTGAGAGGTGAGGCCCTTGGGAGTTTGCTGTACACGAGAACGGGTCGGACGCGGGACGATCGCGATTAACATTCCGGCCGCTAGCTTGCTGTTCGCGCGGCGCTTTCATTAATTCCAGCGTATTGATTCCACGGATTGATGAATGGCCGCCGATAGCGATTCCACGCGCTCGCTGCCCCCATCTCCCCCGCCCTCTCCCCGTTCCCCCTACGTCCCTCGCCTGTAAATTCGACCTCTCGCAGGATTTGAACTAAATTCCCCTTTATGTATTCTCCTCTCAAGTGCAAGTATCTCGATCCCATTGATGCGGGCGACGTTCCTATTCGTCTACGCGGAATGCGTTTCTTTAATTCGAGCGTGCGCTGATGGCTAATCTCTCAAATATATTAATATCTTTAAATTAGAATAACGAAAGAAAAAAGGGAGAGACAATACTTTACGTCATTCGTTGCTTCTTCCTTCCACGAATGCGATACGAAATTAATTTTGATTAATATTTGGGCTTCGTTTGGTGGTGACATCAATCGGAAAGATCACAGACCAACTAACTATTTAAAGGTCTAAGAAGTGCATAATATTACCGGCAGATGGCGATGGTGATAGCACGGAAGAAGAGGAAAAAACGGGGTGGAGCGTGTCTGACAGCTGGGTGGGTTCGGGTCCAAGGTGATTGAAAACAGGGTGGAGCGTCATGTGACGCCATGGTTGGATATGGAAGTGACGTCATATAGCTACGATGGCCTCTAGTTAGCAAAATGGCCTCTAGATAGAAGTTTCTTTGTCTCGCGGTCCCTTATCTACTATTATGCTCCAATCTGTCGAAAATGGTTCAGGCGCCAACTATATTTTATGTCAGGCGCTCTTATCCCGGAAGAAACACATTATGTCTCTTATGTTATTCTTTCATTCTTATGTCTCTCTTTCTGAGAAATGAAACCAAATTATCCAATTATTTAAAAAAAAGAGAGAGAATCAGTTTATAGTGTTTAAAAGGTAAAGAGTGTAATGAGATTGGCATTTTTTTCAAAATAACAATGTTAAATAAATACTATTAATCAAATAAAAAATAATAGTAAAATATTTGGTGTTAACCATCTTTCTTTAAAGTATAAAAAAGTACATGGAAAATAACGAAAAAGTGTGTCGAGAGATCTATGTCTCTCGGGCTGATGTAGATAAAACGACCGCTTCAAATAAACGGCGTCGTGTTGTAGGCAGCTGTATCCCTAAAGATTCAGCCATAAATGGCACTTGGATTTGACGGTTATGGAACTCGTAGCTCGTGTCGGTCGTTCGCGCCTCGTAAAACAGTCGTAAACTAAGCACGTGATAAACTGATGCCACGTACAGCAGTAGCGTTACATTAAAAAGTTACGAGCTCTTGACCTTGCACTACGTAACATGTAGTGCGTTTATCGTTGGCCCTTAACATTTGCGCTTCCAGGTAGAACAATTAAATTTCAAATGCAAAAACAAATTAAAATAAAAATCAACGTAAAAGTAACGATGAAGAGTTAGTGAAATGTAATGTAATGATAGCCAATTGATAATAAACAATTAACAATAGCCATAATACATCATTAAAATCAATTATTATTTTATGCACTAACGCGTAGCTATCATCTTTCAATATAAACAAACAAACGTAACGGACAAATAAGTGCCAGATGCGAATTTACGTCATAATCTCTTTAAATAAACAAAAATTAAAATAACGTTACATGAACATTTCGATTCACTTTAGGATCATCCTTGATATAACAGCGGAATTTATATTATTATCTCTTTTACATTATACGAATAAGATGTTAATGTGAGATAACCGACTACTTTCATAATACGCCCCCCATACTCTTTAGTATAAACAAAAATTAAAATAACGTTACATGAACATTTCGATTCACTTTAGAATCATCTTTGATATAATAGCGGAATTTATATTATTATCTTTTACATTATACGAATAAGATGTTAATGTGAGATAACCGACTACTTTCATAATATACCCCCCCATACCCACACATGCAATTACAAAAGATGGGCGCGAAAAGCGGATACGCTAATAACTATCATTATATATAACATATAATTTCGAACGAGATGGCTCGCAAAAGAAAAGAGGCGATTAATTGCAAGGCGATTTAAACTAATATCGATGCATATTCATGAGAGATATCACGAGATGTAGTCTATTACATAAAATATAATCCATCCTGTATAAAAAAGCAGGATGACAATATTTTTTCAACTCCATATTATACCGTAATCGAATTTGTTATATGAATTCGATATTGCTGTCGCATGATTTATTCCGCCTGGCGGAAGTTCTCGGGCATTAAACCTGTCTGGATTGCTAAACCATTGTACAATGAATTTACATTTTAACGCGTTATTATACATATATCACGGATTTTTAATGATGCTGAAAATTACAAGCGTATAACAACGCTAAAAGAACGATTTAATTATTAGATTTCATTCGCATTTTGTTTCAATATTCGATATTTATTTGCGACTAATTGCATCGGGATCATACGATTGGAAGCTTCATTCTCTTAAAATACAATCTTAAAAATAAACTTTTGATAAATCAATGAATCATCTTCTTACAAGTATGATATCTGTCTGCGCTTTAAACGTGAAACACGTAAGAATCGAATAATGCGTTGCGCTAAATATATCACCGAATAATATATCGTACTCGTAGAAAGAGAAGAAACGTGTGCCAACAAACTACCACGCTAGATTTAGCGAGAAACTCGGAGGCAGCACCTCAGAGATACCGTTACGCGCATTAGAAGATGTTCGGTTGGCGGGAGGTCGAGGCGGCATTAAAGGGTGTTCGCGATCAAGGATTCCAGCGCGCACACGCATACACACACATACGGATGGTATCGGTATTCCGATTCTTGTAAAGTTGCCTGCGACGACGTATGCGTATGTATACGCGTATGGGTATGTGCGTATATGCGCGTGAGTACGTGTAAGGACGGTGCAAGCGATAAACACACGAGCCACGCGCGTCGTGTGTGCGAGCAGATCAGTCGACACGCATGTGCGATTAGCATAATCGAGTCGGGCTGCAGGGAACCAGTTTGCAAGGCCACTGAAAAGCCGGCCG